TCATGATCAAATGAAGTAATTTATAAGATTAAATAGCTTTACTAAGGTTTTTTTTTTTTTTTTTTTTTTTTTTTTTTTAAATACAACATTTGTAATTTAAGTTTTTAATTTACATTATTCCATTAGTGTTTTAATAGGATCCTTAATTCCCTAAATGAATAAAAAAAACCATATCGAAAATTAGTTGTTTGCAATGCTTTTATGTTAGTTTTTCTCCGGTCAAAGACAATGACGTCGAAACAATCTGACACCTAAACGGCTGTGCTGAATAGTCCAATTAATTTTCTGATGCTGAATCAGCAATGCCAAATGGGTTACCAAATGGAGCATGTCATTAAAGAGGAAGTTTTAAGAAAAATGGAAAAAAAATTGATGATTAGAATCAGAAACAGTTGGAAATTTCCAGGACTTCTAGGACACAGAATAAAGAAAGCGGGCTTGGAGAATGTGATATGCACAGAATATATTGAAGGCAAAATTGATCAATTCATTCATTTTCTACAGGTTATCAATTCTTTCCAGATTATTTAAAACCAGAAAATATTTTTAGATTGTAAGAATTTTTGTCTTGAGACAATAATAGTTAAGTGATACAAGTCTTACTAATTTATGCATAGCTGGGGGAGAAGAGGTGAATTCAAACTTTTCCTGGGGGTATTTGCATGTAAGTGAATATAACAAACTTGATGGGAATTGAAACTCATCTCTCTGATTAACAATTCTTAGTCATTATCCATTACACCACCTGCACATCCAAGCTTACAGCACCTGGTATTTCTAAACCCATCTAGGTACTGTCCAGGCTTGGTGTTGCTTAACATCAGTGATCATACAGGAACTGTTGTTTCAACATGTGGTCATAAGCTTGAAGGTTTGGTTTATTTTGTTTTATGGCATATATATCTCAATTGGTTATTTAAATCCAACAACATTTTTAGGATAGATTCGTATGAATAGAATATGTATTCTTTGGTTTAGATTGCTTTGGTTTGGTTTATTTTGTTTTACGGCATATCAACCTCAATGGGTTATTTAATGCTGATAAAATTTTTTATTGCTGTTAATATTTTGTTTTGTCAAAAATCTGTTTCTGGTAATATTTTTCCTTCAAAATTGTATTGCTGGTAATAATTTTTTTCAAAAAGTATTGCTGGTAATAATTTTTTTCAAAAAGTATTGCTGGTAATAGTTAACTATTTGCCCATGGCTGGGACCCTAACAGGTGCTACCACCCCAGGTCAGGGTGGACCTGGGAATACCAGCAATTAAGAGGTGGTTCCACACTCCTCAAAACCCCCTGATCGGAGATCCATAAGCTTGAAGGGTAGAGGGATGGAGGAAAGCAGCATATAACCTACCTAATGAGTGTGTAAGTAGATAGCAGAACAGAGACTGGGAGGGATGGTGAAAAAAAACTTTACTAAGAGCTACAAAAGATAGGAAATGGTGGAGAGCCATGGTCACCCATGTCTTGAAGGAATATAGCACAAAGAGAATCAAGCATGGTAAGTGGAAATGGCAAACTGAGTTCAAAACATGAGCAAATTTGTCGTGCCCACTATGTTGCCCATAGGCAATGCATGAATCGGTCTCTTCCGTCTCCAGCATAGTAGATTGGATTCTGTAGTCTCATCTAGCAACCAGTCTAAAAGAAAGAAAACTGAATTCCAAACAAACAGGCAACCACTTCTCCATTTTTCTCCAAGAATTCATGCCAAATCAAAGATAAAAATAAAGGAATCTCTAGAGCCATGGTTGCCTACATTCTAAAGGGATATGGCATTTAAAAAAAAAAAAAATAATAAAATAACTATCAAAATAGTTCTAAAACTTGCAAATTCATTTTTAACAACTTGGAATAAGATATCTTGTCAACTGCTTCAGGTCAACCAGTTTTCACCGAATTCAACATCATCCATGAACTAACTTCAATGCTTGGATTTGTATCTGTTGGCTTTCTTTTTTCCACACCGAGAGATGCATAATTTTTCCTCCATTGGCTGCAATTCCAGACTTGCAGAGCTGCCTAGTTTCCTTTGCTTGGACTTAATTTGACCAAAAAAAAATGTAACTGTTAAATGTTAAATTAAAGATTAGAAACAATGGCTAGAAATTGAGTTAAATGGCCAAAATGAAGTCCTGATTTGTGAATTAGTTTTGAATTTCCCATCTGTATCAATGATTGGTGTTCAAGCCCAGGTAAAAGGTCAGAATGTTGATTTCTTTTAAGGCAAGCTAGTAGAACTTCACTGACAAATGACCCTCCATACCTCATTTGTCCTTATTGAATACATTGCTGTCATGTTTGGTGTCCAACACATTCAGAAATGTCTCTAAACTATTTTCTCAGATCAAGGATTAAAAATGGCTTCGAGTAAATGAATCCTGTTAGAAATAATTCATCATCAGATCTCAGACTGGTGCTACAGAATCACAAAGCTATCAAATAACAAAAACTACATCACTTGAAGATTTCCAAGAGCAGTGACAACAAAAATGGGAGCACCTGTAACTAGTAGGGAAAATAATGCTATAATTAAGGTGTTGATTTTTTTTACAATACCTTAAACAAAAGGTTAGGAAGGAAAGCTCATTAATGCTAGAAAAAAAAAAAACAAAAAAAAAAAAAAAAAAAACAATAACAGTCAACTGGAGAAGCGTATTTTTCTAAAAAAAAATGAAAAAAAAAACATTAAGAGAATGATTTTATAAATTTTCTACTGATAGTAACACACTATTCAGTAAATGAATGTCAAATATTTCATATCAAGAAAAGGATAATCTCACCCATTACCATTCTATGAAGCTTAGTGAAGATCAAGTAGTTAATAGGAGAAAAAAAATAATTGATTTTTTTCTATTGCCATGTTACTTCAGGACATGGACACTCATCAAGAAATTACTTGGTGACCAGATTTTTTTAAACAAATACTAGGTTACATAGTAGCTGGTAGGCACCATGTAATCTTGAAAACAATTTGAAATCTGCTGTTCCAATTTTCCAATACTGATTAATGCCAGACATCACAAAAATACAAACTAGAAAATCGTCTTACTTGTTTAGATTTGCATTCTTACATTCTTCAAAAAATGAGACTCTGAGAAATTCTTCCTGAAAAAAAAAAAAAAAAAAAAATTTAAAATCATTAAAATGTTTTACTTATCTTTACTACAGATTGAATTTATCAACTTCAAATTATATTTTTTGTTGGTCTAAAAACTTACAAATTTTATTTGATGTCACTTAATTCAATGGATTCTCTGAAGAAAGCTTCATTTCAGGCTGTTAATTTTATTTCTCCAAAAGCTCAAACAAATTTAAACATAAGTGGAAATATAGTTTATAGTCTAGGAAACACAAGTGTAGGTATATAGGTAAGTCGGTAGATACAGCCTCTAATACCTTCACATTGTTTGGTTCAAATTATTTTTTTTTTTAAATAAAAAGTTATATTCTAAAAATCATCAATACTAATATTGGAGGTGTGTGTGTACATGTCACTGTCACACAGTTTTGAGTGTGAAGACGCACAAGATACCCAGGGTTGACATGAAGTGATTTAAGGTCACCACTTCTATGCATCATGTCCCTTCAGTTTCTATCCTTTGCAGCTCTTCATCTTTTTGTTATCTCTACTAAACCCTGTTCTGCCATCCATTTACTTAAGTTTGTTAGGTAGGTTATGCATTGTTTTTCCACCATCTCTCTTGCATTCAACCTGTACTGTGAGTATCAAATTTTCCAGGTCCTCTTTCTCCATTATATGCTTTAGAAATTTCAACTGTCTTTTTCTGATGTTTATTATAAGCTCCTTTTTGTTTCCATTTTCTCTAAAAATTTGTCACTGCTCACATATTCAGTCCATGGTATTCTCAGCATCCTTCTGTCTGTAGAACCACAAATTTCACTAAGAATTGCAGGTTTTTTTTTTCTTTTTGATATTCATAAGTTGAAAATTTAAGTTTAATTATGCAAATTTCAGAATTTTTCAATATTTCATAACATATTGCAAAGAAAATGTTTTTAAGCTTCATCAATTCTTTTGCTAGGCTGAAAAAAAAAATAAAAAAAATAAATAAATAAATAATAAGCAAAATAAAAACACCTATTTTAATCGCAAAGTGACCTATGGGGAACTCCCAACTCCCAAAAATGTAATTGTTTGGCTGCAATCCAGATCATAATGGCCACAAAATAATGCAACCTCTAATGACCACCTGTGACCTCAGTGTAAACTCAATATCTCACTCCATTTTCCTAGAAATTTGCTTAGTCCAAAAATGATAAATAGTCTTTGATAGCCTTGACCGACTTCAAAGATCAGCTTAACATAACCTATATCACAACTTAAAGTCTTCTAAGAATTATGCCAAAAATGAGGTTAGTAAGCTTTTGTTTCAGTGTGCTCATGGAATGGACATACAGACAAGCCTCCAATGGAGAGTACATCTAGCTAGTAACAAGATAAAGTTAACTGACCAATAAAATAAGTGAAAATGCTTCATTGGAAATAACAAAAAAGAAATTCCTTACTTTTGATGGATATTCATGCTTAAACTGACATGCAGCTAACTTGGAACAATATCCCATTTTTACAAACTGAGAGCAAAATCCAATTGGTACAGGAAGGTCTTCAGTTTGAGTTTTCATAGTCGAGGATTGGTCTGGATCTTGAGTTTTCAGTTCCTTAATAATCAGAGAAAAAAAACAATTGGTCAAGATTTAGCAATATGTCTGGATATTTCAATGTGCCTATCTATTTAAGTGTCCATAACCAACATTCATGCAAGACACGTGTTTACAGTTATGAGATGCAAGTTGAAATCCTGTCAGAAATACATTATTTCAGATATATATTAAGGAAAAAAAAAAAAAAAAAAAAAAACAAAAAAAAAAGTATTTTTCCTATTTGAATGCATGATTCAAATGAGTTAATACATGCCTTTTTTGCTGCAACAAAATGTCCTACTTATTCAAGTTTGTTTCTGTCTTTTACTCTTTAAGAAAGAGAGAGAAAGGAAAAAAAAAAGAAAGGAGAGAGAGAGAGAAAGGAAAGAAAAAGAGAGAGAGAGAGAGAGAGAGAAAAAGAAAGAGAGAGAAAGGAAAGAAAAAAAGAAGAGAGAAAGGAAAAAAAAAAAAGGAAAAGAAAAAAAAGAAGAGGAAAAAAAAAAAAGAGAAAGGAAAGAAAAAAAAGAGAGAGAGAAAAAAAAAAAGAAAAAAGAAAAAGAAAGAGAGAAGGAGAGAAAGGAAAAAAAAGAGAGAAAAAGGAAAAAGAGAGAAAAGGAAAAAAAAGAGAGAAAGAGAAAGAAAAAAAAAAAGAGAGAGAAAGAAAAAAAAAGAGAGAAGAGAAAGAAAGAAAAAAAGAGAGAGAAAGAAAAAAGAGAGAGAAAAGGAAAGAAAAAAAGAAGAGAGAAAGGAAAGAAAAAAAAGAGAGAAAGGAAAGAAAAAAAAAGAGAGAAAGGAAAGAAAAAAAAAGAAGAGAGAAAGGAAAGAAAAAAAAGAGAGAGAGAAAGGAAAGAAAAAAGAGAGAGAGAAAGGAAAGAAAAAAAAGAGAAGAGAAAGGAAAGAAAAAAAAGAGAGAGAGAGAGAAAAAAGAAAAAAAGAGAGAGAGAAAGGAAAAAAAGAGAAAAAAAAAAAGAGAGAAAAGGAAAGAAAAAGAAGAGAGAAAGAAAGAAAGAAAAAAAGAGAGAGAAAGGAAAGAAAAAAAAAGAAAGAAAGAAAAAAGAGAAAGAAAAGGAAAAAAAAAAGAGAGAGAGAGAAAAGGAAAGAAAAAAAAGAGAGAAAGGAAAAAAAAAAAGAGAGAAAAAAGAAAAAAAAAAGAGAGAAAAGGAAAGAAAAAAGAGAGAGAAAGGAAAGAAAAAAAGAGAGAGAGAAAAGGAAAGAAAAAAAGAGAGAGAAGAAAGAAAAAAAAAAGAAAGGAAAGAAAAAAGAGAAAGAAAGAAAAAGAGAAAGAAAAAAGAGAGAAAAAAAAAAAAAAAGAAAAAAAAAAGGAAAGAAAAGGAAAGAAAAAAAGAGAGAGAAAGGAAAGAAAGGAAAAAAAAGAGAGAAAGGAAAGAAAAAAAGAAAAAAGGAAGAGAAAACCCCTTAAAAAAAAGAGAGAAAAGGAAAGAAAAAAAAGAGAAAGAAAAAAGAAAAAAAGAGAGAAAGAAAAGGAAAAAAAAAAAAAAGGAAAGAAAAAAAGAGAGAAAGGAAAGAAAAAAAGAGAAAAAAAAAGAGGAAAAAAGAGAAAAAAAAAAAAAAGAGAAAAGGAAAAAAAAAAGAGAGAAAGGAAAGAAAAAAAGAAAGAAAGAAAAAAAAAAGAGAAAAGAAAAAAAAAAAAAGAAAGAAAGGAAAAGGAAAAAAAAAAAAGAGAGAGAAAGGAAAGAAAAAAAGAGAGAAAGGAAAGAAAAAAAAAGAGAAAAGAAAGAAAAAAAAAGAAAAAAAAAGAGAAAAAAAAAAAAAAAGAGAGAAAGGAAAAAAAAAAAAAGAGAAAGGAAAAAAAAAAAAGAAAAAGAAAGGAAATAAATGTTCTTTGTTCTTCAGGACAAGATCTTAAGACTTAGCAAATGATTCCCAAGACCTGTTTACACCTACTTCTTCATTACCATGAAATGCAGTAATCCATTGCTTTCATTGTGGTGTACAGTTTTTACCAGGCTAAACATGAAACGTACAGCATGCCAGATTTTCATTTTATATTCAATTATAATGTTCATCAAAATAAAATTAACACTTTGACAAAGAATTCTTTAAGGGTATCCATGCACAAACAAAGAACTGAGTAAACATCAAAGACACTTTTTAGATTCCATCTAATATTTTACAAAAATGATATTAACTATTTTTGTATCAGCAAAAGTCACTAAATTATATATATATATATATATAATGCAATCTTCTTGTGCTCAGGATAGACTGGGCTTTATGTAATTTAAATTTTTAAAATATCTGGTTATTGTAATGTTGGTGTAGATATATATTATGCTGGGATTACAGTTTTTTAAATTTTAAAAATTATATTTGGCATATAAAATAAACAGGATATATATTTTTTTTTTAATCATTTCACCACAAGCAAGGTGGGTAGCCACTAGCACACAAGGGGTTAGAGAGAGTTGGAGCGAGAGCAAATAGGATTGATAGAGGAAAGGATGAAGAGAAGGATAGGGGATAGATCAGGGCATATGTCGGAGATTATAGCTATCAGGGAAACAGGAAAATGGGAGGAAGTTCCACAGGCAAGAGGTGCAAGACATGAAGCTATTGGAGTAGAAGAGACGGCTATATTTAATAGTTTTGACAGTGAAAGGTTGTGAAAGAGATGCCAGCCTATTAGAATGCTTAAATTCATTAAGTTTGGGAACCAGTGAAAGCAGCTCCTTGGAGCAGTTACCATGAAAGTATTTGTAAAAAAGACAAAGGGAGGTGATGACACGTCTGTGAGAGAGTGACTGCAGATGAGATGCCAGATCAGGGCCAATTACATTGCATATCTGTCTCTGGATCTTATCAAGAACCTTGGGACAAACATAAGGGGCACCAGACCATATATGGCAGCAATACTCGATGCAAGGGTGAATGGTTGATTTGTAGAATCAACTCTGGTGAGAAAAATTTCCTGGCGCAGCATAGGGAGCCAACTTTTTTTGTGGTGGATGAAGCTATTGGCTCAATGTATTTGTTCCATCTCAGGTCAACAGTCAATGTGAGACCAAGTTGTTGCAAAGAGTTGCTGTCATGGAGTTGAGCATCAGACATTCTAAGGGGGGGGGGCAAGGATGGTTCTCTGTGGTGAGTAATAGAGAGCAGTTTTGTTTTTGAGACATTAAAGTTAACCAGCCAATTCCTGCCCCAGTTCACAACTGATTGGAGGTCCTTTTCGAGATGAACAGCAAGGTTAGTTTTGTCAACGACACCAGTTATATTTTTGAGACAGGAGTAAATTGTAGTGTTGTCCACATAAATGCCTACTTGGGAATCTATGACATCAGGAAGATCGTTGAAGAAGATAAGGAACAGAGTAGGGCCTAGGATGGAGCCTTGGGGGACATCTGCGTGTGTAGGATAGGAGCTGGAGGAGAATCCATTGAGAACAACCTTCAATACACTGTTTGACAGGAATGATTGTATTAAGTCAAATAATCGACCTGAAATTCCATAACCCTGAAGCTTGCGAAGAAGGCAGGCATGCCAAACCTTATCAAACGCTTTGGAGATATCTAGAGCCATGGCATGAGCTTCTCAGTTATTATGAAGAGTTTGGTAAACAATTTCAGTGGTGGCCATAAGTACATCAGCTGTAGAATGGGCAAAGTGGAAACTATATTGCTTGTCAGAGAGCAGATCATGGGATGTAAGGTGCTTAACCACTTTAGCATTGATTAATGCTTCAAAGACTGTCGAATAGGGGTAGGAGACTGATAGGACAGTAATAAGAAGTGTCAGAAATGTCACCAGAGTTCTTAAAGACAGGAACAATGGAGGAGGACTTCCAACAGTCTAAAAAACAAGATTCATTGAGGTAGTTGTTATATAATTTGGAGAGAGCAGGGGGCAGTTCAGGCGCACATTTCATCAGGACAATGGATGGTATCCAGTCTCCACCACTAGCCTTGTGGGGGTCTAAATTAGAGATAATGCCCAATACCGATGACGGATTTATGTGCAGCTTGCTCAATAGAGCCTCACTTCTAAGAGGGAAATTGGGTGTAAGTACACCGGAAGAGTCAAGTGTTGAATTGAATGAGAATTTCCAAGCAAAGCATTCAGCCTTGTTGGCAGAAGAGGTCAGAACCTTGAACTGGTTGAACAAAGGAGGTATAGAGGGTTTGCTATTGTTAAGTAAGCTCTTGCAGAGATGCCAATAATCCTTGGAGACAAATATGCAAGATGCAATACGTTCTTTCGTTCAGGCAGCAAATAGTGACTTTGCTTCATTGAGGACATGCATATACTTGTTACAGGCAGAGACAAAGAAGTCTATTGCAGGTGGATATAGGTGGAAGAAGTGGTTCCTATAGGCAATAGCAGCTGAGCAAGCAGCCAAGAACCAAGAGGAGTAGCACGATTTGACCTTATATTTCCTTGAGGGGATGAAAGCTTCGATTCCAGCTTTAACCCAGGAGGAGACCTCATAAGCACATTCTTGAATGATGAGCGTAAAGACAACATCCCAAGGGATATCGAAGGAAATCCTGGAACAAGTACCAGGATGTTCGTTGATAGCAAAATGAGGTTCTAGTGGTAGGAGGTTCTTTGCAGGGGGTGGAGTTGAAGATGTTGACAGACACTACAGCATGATCAGAATTGCCATGAGGGCAGAGCTGCATGTCGCTACAGGACTCAGGGATGGAGGGAAAACATAGATCAAGAAGAGAAGCCTTACTGTCCTAGTTGTAGGGAAAACGTGTGGGGAAGTCAACTGTGTGAGGGATTGAGAAATTGAAAAATTAAGGGCTTGAATGCCTGCATGGTCAGTAGTAGCATTTTTAAGCCACTTGGTATGATGGGCATTAAAATCACCCAACACGAATATGTGAGCAAATGGATGGAGAGAGAAGCTTGTCAATGCTGTTAGAGATGCATTCAATTATACCACAGTCTTGGGAGGAAGGTGAGCAATAAAGGAAGAAGAAGTAGCTTACAGCATTGAGAAGAGATAGCTGGAGACACATGTACAAATGGTCTGGAGATTCAAGAGAGAACTCTAGTTCGCGGGAGATGGTCCTTGACATAAACTCCATGGCCATGCATGTGGGTTTGAGAGTCTTTTCTAAGGAGGGGATAGACGAATCAAGGTTGGTCACACACAGAACCAGTATATCCGGGCAGTTTGCAATGAGGAAGGATTCCACATTGCAGAAATTGGTTCTAATGTCACGGATGTTGGAAAATGAAATGTTAACAGGTTTAGGTGATTTTTTAGGGGCTGGTTTAGGTTTTCTTTTTGGATCGTCGTTAATTATCATGTGAAATTGTGGTTGTAAAAACGAGAAGGCCTGAAGTAAAAGAAGCAGACAGTTATTGACCGTGAGGTGGGCAGAGAGAAGTTGGCACAACCTACAACATAATGTGGCCTCAGGGTTACCCACCGGAGGTGAATGCAGCGACACCAATCCATGTGCCACATGGCACTATAGACACCCCGGTATTATGCAACTGTTGATCAGAGCAGCCGCTCAAGACGCTACGCAAGAGTTAGGGCTCCTAACTACCAGTCGGAAACGGCAACCAGAAAACTTAACCATGTACCCTCAGAATGAAGAGGTAATGCAACAGACTGCACATATCATGGGAGAAACATGGCAACACTAGTACAGATGCCAGAGAGAAACAGAGGGAGAGTTCCGGGAACCCCTTCCTAAACAAGAAACAAGGTGTGAGCCTCTACTCATGTCCAAGAGAAAAGGGAGGAGCATTGATCGGACAGTAGGAAAGCCTACCTACTCCTATAACACAAACGACAAAAAAAAAAAAAAAAAAAAAAAAAAAAAAAAACTGGGATGTTATTTGTATTTTTCCCTTCCATTACATTTAGTTTCAACTTGTATAATTCCCATTTTCCTAACCTAAAAACAAATTTGGTTATACAACATTGCGGATATGCCTGTCATTATGTTCATTTCCCTGGCACTGGCAGCTAGTAGTTTGCATACGTAACTGTCCTCATGCATTTTAAGGGTCAAAAGGTTGGCGAATTCTAGATATTTTTTTCAGAATGTGCATCTTCAATCCACGTTGTTGCTGGGCTTGTGATGAAAAGAAGATCATATATAAGAGAAACGGATTAAGAAACCACAGTTCCTAGCATTGACTTTTTTTTTTTTTTAAATTTCAGTTTATCTAGACATGAATTAATAACCCACCTACCTCCACCTTATTTTTCATTTTTCTATTTTAGCTTAGATCTCTCTTTTTGCTTAATCCAGACATACCCACAAGTATGTTTTATTTAATTTTGAAATTAGGGTTTCCCCCCCACCACCTTTTTAACTTTCAAATGAGGTAACAACTTGTTTTCTAGTTTCCCAAATAAATCATTTTCATCATAAATTATCTACCATCACCTGAGGAGGGACAATTATAGTTCCGAAACATGAAAGTTTTTGTGTAGCAATGTAAAATATTATAATAAAAAATATAACATTTTGCTCCATGTTGCACTGAGCACTTTTTAAAAAAGTAAAGGCTAAAAACTGCAGATTCTTCATCTGTCTTATCTTTCACTTTATCTGAAGATATATATATATATATATATATATATATATATATATTCAGGTAGCATGCAAGACAAAAAATATAATGTGAATCAAAATATGTTTTTGAAATGTGTTATTAACAGATACAAACTTTTGCAGTGTGCAGTCGCAGCACTAAGGTTGAATTTTTTTGAAAATTTAAGAGTGTGTTTTTTTTACTAATATGGCAACTTGAGAATTTTTTGTTGTAGAAGTTTATAAGTCAATGTGGCATGAACTAAATAGTTCAATAAATAGAGTAATGTCTCAGTTGTTATCCTGAAAATTTGCACGTCAGATCAGTTCTTTTAAATCAAATATGTGGTGCAGTTCAATTTATATTACAATGAATCATTCATAAAAAAAGTGAATTAGTAAAGATGACCGAATGTACAGTCGAAAGTACTCGTGTATTTAAGAAAGACCTTATACAGCTTATAATTTTTAAAAACAAGGATCATAACATTCATCAAGTGATTTGTAGGTTAATGCACCTTTAAAATTTTGTTAGTGAAGGGTTTTCGCCATTTTATATCATTAACTTTACTAATTTACTTTTTGTATGAATGATTCATTGTAATATAAATTGAACTTCACCACATATTTGAGAGGTGTGTGTGTGAAAAATTTTTTTTTAGAGTTGTAAATATTTTTTTTTTCATTATTAAAGGGAAATTACTTGTTCCCTCGTGTGTGTGTGTGTGTGTGTGTGTGTGTTTTGTTAAAAATGACTGACAAGACACTGATTAAGCTTTTTATTGAATTTTTCTTGTGTTCCTACAAGTGCTTTTTTTTCTGGACACAAAGTGTGTAAAAACTGTCGAATTGTGGCTGTGTTCAAATTTCATGTTATTGAATGGTGGCATTTTCTTTTTTATCATTAGAAAAATTTCTGCAACCACATCACCAGTCACATCTGGCCACCCAACTCCTCAGACTGTAATCCCCTTGATTATGTGTGGGGCACATTTGAGGAAAAGACCAACAAAATTCCTTGTAACACCACAAGAATGAATTGAAGGCAAGGATTATGGCAGTATTCACCAACTTAAGCCATCCAGAAGAGATGTGGGAGATTCTCAAGTCATCTGGAGGCTGTGGTTGAAGTCAACGGTGATTTTATTGAATAAATTTACTCTTTAGTATTTCAAAATATTTTTGTGCCATTTTGGTAAATATATCTGTTAAAATGAGATGTCAGTGTTATTTTCATTTTTGTGTAATTTAGATGACAATTTATTCATCACACCCTGTATATATGATATGGGATAATCTGATATATAAAGTCTATATATGAGACTAATATTGGGTTAACTGAAGGACTCATTTGCAATGCAGAATTTATGTCCAGTGTCGAACAAATCTCCTCTCCTGACAAAATAATGCTGATCCAATGTGGAAACTAAAATCCTAATCAATAGAAAACTGAATTTGGTCAACTCATTTATAGACCTGTAGATACATTGAGTACCAAAAATTTAAATTTCAGCATTTCTCCATCTTTTGTATTTTTGATGTAAAATTCTAACTGGTGTTTGTTGCATTTCTTCCTTGACTCTTTACTTAAGACTGACTCCATCAATGAAACCATTATTAGCCTGAAAATGTTCTTTTGAGGGATAGACCACATTATGTAAGAGTTTTTGTTTTCCATTTTGTCAGTTACAATTTTGTTATATATAATTATGTGAAACAAAATCCAATTGACAATTATATTGTATGTTGTTAAATATTAACTTCCTTATTGCACACTGTGCATCTGTTTATAAGTAACATGTACATTGATGTTTAAAATTGCTCTTAAAAATGTTTAAAAGTCCAGTCTTCACAAGATCTTGGGCATTACTGTCAGTTTCATGATAAAACCAAACTTCATACTATAGCTTTATCTTTGATACTGAGCACTCTTAAAAAAAAAAAAAAAAGACAGAACCCAAGTTGTATCCATTATTGTTATCAGTGAAAATAAAATTTACATACACAGTTCAATTTAGCTAAATGGAAAGAATTTGGACAATGGAAAGATTGTGATGCACTAACCAATTTTCCAATTGAAATATTGTATGAATGCCTTACAGATTGTTGCTTTCAATTTGAGGAATGACTAAACAAAATTTTCCCTCCTAAAATTTATAGACAAATCCTACAGATGCATGCTGGGATTTCTTATCAGCCAATAAGAAACAAACAATTATCAGTCTTACCCACACTTTTGTTTTTTGATCGATTCGTTTTCAACCTTTTGCAGGTTATTTAAAACCAGAAAATATTTCAGATTGTAAGAATTTTGTTTTTGGTTTATATGTTTTAGTGATAGAAATCTTGCTAATTAACCCATAGCAGGGGGAGAAGAGGTGGGTTCATACTTTTCCCAAGGGTATTTGCATATAAGTGAATATAATGAAGCCAATGGAAATTGAAACTCTGCTCTTTGAGTAACAATTCTGAGACATTATCCATTACACCACCTGGTATTCCAAAACAGTTACCCATCTTGGTATTAACCAGGCTTGATGTTGCTTAACTTTGGTGATCCTACAGGAATCTGTTTCAATGTGATGTGGCTGTAAGCACACATTGTTCTTTCTTTGAAGTCAGAAGGCTATAACCTACTTGACTGTATCCCTTTTGTGTGTGAACACTATTTCTATTTTGTGAACTTTTTACTTTGTTATTGTCTTATAGTTGCTTTGATTCGCCTTGCATTATATTGTCTTGTTTCCTGTTATTTGGTTTTGTTCTTTTGCTTCTTATTGTTTCCGAGAATTTTATCAATTCTGATTAACCAATCTTGCCTCTTTAACAAAACAAATTCCGCATTCACAACTTGGTCTTGAACCCTGAAAGCTGAAGCTAGTGAGAAATCCAACAACTGTTTTTTTTTTTTTTTTTTTTTTACTTACTTGCTCTTTCATATAGGAAAGTTGATGGTCTGAAACAACATCTTTCATGTCATCCAAAGTTTGTGCCTTAATATTTCCCATCTGAATGCCAAGAGTTGCATTTACCAGGTTTGAATTCATCCCATACTTGGTCTTTGGCAAGGTTCCCGTATAAATATTCTCAGGTTTTATTGCTTCCCTTTCTTCTTCAAATGAAAGATTTTCAACCGACCTGAAAATTCAATCACAGAAAAAAAGAAAAAAAATTTTTAATGAACACCGGGTGCTTCTAAAACTTGAGCCTATAGAGGTGCAACGCCACCATGCTATGGGTTATGTTGTTGCAGTTTCTCATAGCAAATAGGTTTTAGAGTAGAATTGTTATCCTCATGTTTGACTGAATTCAGAGTTTTCCTTTTCATAAATAGGTTATCAATCAAGGTTAGAGAACGCAATCTGTCCTGTTATTACACCTATAGTAGAGGTGCTTATTATGAAAATGGAAAAATGGAATGGCCTACTTGAAATGGAAATTGTGATTTCGAAATGGAAAACATCTGCTAACTGCTATTTTTATTTTTTACTATCTTTGCCTTTCCTAAGTACTCGACAGACAACAAGGAATAAATTCAGTAATGTTTTAATACATTCCTCTTACCTACTATTTCCTTACAGTTTACAGTATTTATTTAGGAATCAAGTTTTAATAAGTTGGCTTGATTTAATAATAATAATAAAAAAAGGTTGAAGGGCTAAAATTTTGTCTTTTCGTTTTATCCTTTCTTTTTCCTATTACATGTGGTGATGGAAGCGAGGAGCAGATTGTCATTTCCGAAAGCCAAATTTTACAAACTGGACTTTTCAAAATTTTATTCAATAATTTCAATAAACAGATGAAATGATAATCTAAGCTTTTTGTTTCTTAATGACTTTTCAACAGTTTATTTATGGGAATTAATTTAAAACTGAACTTTTTCTGTTTGCCTACTTTATTTTTTTTTTTTTTTTAGTTTTCTTTTTAAAAAAAAATCGTTTGGTGTCTTTACTGATTTCAACTGGGCAAGCCTGTATGCACACACCCAAATTAGTTTTATGCTTGTAAGATTATTTTGTTCTTAAAAAAAAAAAAAAAAATAGTAACTATAAACTAAAGTGGTGCATGAAACAAAAAATTATCTTTGGAAAGACGAGACATTTGTTTTACTACAACATCCAGTTTGTGAGTTTGAGTTAAATATTTAATTTTGTTACAGTAAATGAGTAAATGCACAAAAACCTTTTTAAAAAAAATACCTATTAGCTACTTTATATAAAAAAGAAAAAAAATTTTGGTTGTAGAGATCTATTTGAAAAAAGCCATATTTCACTTGTATGGAAAATTAGAAGCCTGGACTGATCAAATTGTTTTAGATTTTTTTTTAAACCTAACATGAAAAAGCAATAGACTGCTTTATATGAACGCCCCCCAACCTCAAAAGATGAACCTTCTCCAAAAAAGAAACACAGGCAAATGACAGCAGTTTCTAAAATTTCCAGAAAGCTTTTACGGGCTTTTCTGCAAATTTTGTCATCACCTTTTAAAGGTGGACACTATAAAGGATCATATCAAGTCTAAAAACCATTTGGCAAAAAATAATATTGCTCAGCTTAGTACTTTCAAAAAACTGGAGGAAAATAGCAATATCTGAAATGGCTTGAAGCCTACTTGCCTATGCAACTAGTAAAACTCCCCACCTGTTCCAGTGGCAACCTGATAGAATTCATGGTTCAATTCAGCCAAGTATCAATCTTCATATGTTCAATTTTATGAAGGATTCTTCAAACAAAAAGCCATGGCTTGGCAACAGACCAGGTTTTGGAATTTCAGATATTGCTATTTTCCTCCAGGTTTTTTGAAAGTACTAAGCTGAGCAATATTATTTTTTGCCAAATGGTTTGAAAGTGCAACTAGTGAAACTCCCCATAATTTATATCTTAATATGCATTTCATCAATGAGAACTTCCATGGAATTTTTTAATTTATTTTATTTACATAATAAAACCAGAGACCTGTCAAAACAAATTTTTATGAACATTTCATAAGGATAAATACAGACATTATAAGATGAACTTCATATTGTATATTTGTCATATGAAAAATTTATTAACATCAGCTTGTTTATACCTATTTAATTTTGAAAACATTGACTAACATAAAAAAACAAAAAATTTGCTAAACGTCAAAACACAAAAATAATTAAAAGACTCCTCACTTGAAAGATTGGTACAAAGTAACCTTTGTAGCCTTATTTTCCAATGTGTCTCAGTAAATATAAAAAGATATTTAACATATATAATCTGTACAAACCTGTCATCGGAAATGTTTGCATCATTTTCATCCAAAAAAGATGCATCTGAAGGTGCATATATGGAGAGAACAGAGTCTGAATCATCATCATCATTGTTGTTATTGTCTTCATTCTGACTGTCATGGCTCGAGTCAGAATTGGTCATTTCTAAGGAGTGGTCCAAAATCTAATGAGAAATCAAAATTTAAGACAACACATACAAAAAACAGAAAAAAAAAAAAAATTATTAATCTGAAGAATACCATTTTTATATTTTATTAAAAGATAACTGACCTTTTATTATTTAATTTTACTTTAAGTCTTTTTTTTTTCCTTTTCTGGACATAAGTTAAAAATAAAAAAATAGTAAAAAAAAAAAAAAAAAAAATAGTATCCTTGATAATGGTTAAAAGAATAGCTGAAAGTACTCGGATATACAAAACAATTTTTACACCCTTGATGTCCAGAAAAAAAAAAAAAAACTGATACAAACACAAGATAAACTGAATAAAAAGCTTAATTGTTGTAACTTGTCAGACATTTTTAATGAAATTTGTATAAAATTATTTCCAGATTTCATTGAGCTTGGAATCATTCAAAAGTTAAAAATATTATTTAATTTACTATTTAAAAAAAGAAAAAAAAAAAAAAAAAAAATGATGCAGAATTTCAAAATAAAAACCATCAAAAATAATTTTTATAAAAAGGCTATTGATGACTATTTTACAATAATTAAATAAACAAAATATCTAATTTTTTTCTTCCTTTTTCACTAGTTTTGGTAATTTCCTTTGCTCTACCAATTTCCGAATTTAAGACACAGCTATCCATACACAACACAATGAACAAACAGATGTATTGAGCACAACAATTAAAACAACATAAAAATGCAACATGTATATCTTTGATTGGTGATTTGGACTTTAGTTATTTAACACAAGGACATTTGTATGGGGGCGCCTAATGAGAAATAAACTTGCTACTCAATAGTAATGATGTGTGGCATGAACATGCTGGCCCTACATCAAGATGTCTCTTTAATTGATTCATAAATATACAATAGTATAAGACAAGGGTCGGCAACCTACGGCCCGCGAAGGCATTTTGACCGGCCCGCGAGCCTGATTACCAATGACTATTTTTAACATGAGAGACGACCTTCAAATGAAATTTGTTATATGTCATTTTCCATAGAATGTCTACACATCTCAGTGCACTAAAAATATTAGACTATCTGCCAGTTATCTTTCATGAAACTTATTTTACCAAGTTGCGTTGCATACGTTTAATGTCAAATAATGGATACATATTTGTTATGACCCTTGGCTACATTAAAAGATAACAGAAGCGAAAGGAGCAATAAAGTGAAAGAGGCCAGTGAGGGACTGACATGCGAGGTAGCAGAAATCTAAAGATGGTTAAAAATACGCGCATTATACATACATGCCTCATGAATGTGTGGATGATACCGCATGTGTATGTACGTAAGTGTATATGTTTGCAACCATTTGTACTCGTATGTATGAGTATATGTGCTTAGTTTTTGTTTGATGTGTGTGTGGTTCATTTGTGGAACAATTTTCAATAACAGTTTCAAACCTACACATCATAATTTCATCCATTTCACTTCGGTTGATTTTTTTCACTTTGAAGTATTTTGACGTTCCTTTAAAGTAATTTTTGTTAGGTGTTTTTTCTAATTTTAGATTTTCTTTTGTTTTTCTGATTTCTCAATGTTTATTTTCATTATGGTTTTTAAATATTTAGGTTGACAGGGGTCTGCATATGTAATTTTCCTTAATTTTTCATTAACGGCCTTCGTCTGGCCCGCGACCCGTCATTATAACATTATCTGACCTGCGGGATCGAATGAGTTGCTGACCCATGGTACAAGACAAAGAGCAGTGATAAACTTACAGACAAAAAAATCTGGAACATGCTTCCCTACCAAGGATCAAAGTGTAGTATCTGTTGGATTCTTGATCTTGCAGAGATAGAATCAGTTATGTTTTTCTGGTTATGCTTGGCTGTTTGATTTCTTGATGTGTCAACCCTCATTCTGTTTTTTAATATTGAAGTTAGCTATTTGATTTTTGTTTATCATATTTAAGTCTTGAAGTGATTGCTCAATTCAGAGACACAAAAATATTGGGTTGGGGAAATTTTACAACAAGTAAAATAGCTTGTACAGTTATTTATGGTTTGAATCTGTGTGTATTTTTCTGGGTCAGGAATACTTAAATACAGGTTGTGTATCCTTTATCCAAAATTCCAAATTTTGAAAACCTCCAAAATCCAAAAGTTTTTCAGGTGTTGACAGGATTTGTCACAAATGGAAAATTCCAGAAAGCAACATGGCTACCTGCAGCATGATTATTGCACTGCAGCATTACAAATAAAATGCTGACTTTTTTTTCAGAAGAATCCAGGTTTCATTTTTATACAATACATTTATTATAACATTTTAATCAAAACACGACATCATTTGTAGAGACTGATAGCTTACCAAGTTTTCCTTCTCACACTCGCAGGGACATCACCGATGATCTAACCTCTCCTTCCAGTTTCTCACACCTGATGTACAAATAGTGTTTGGTGTTGCATTTGTGGATTCTTGTAAGTAGTGATTATGTTTCCTTGCATGCGTACAGAAAGTACAAAACATTTTTACATGAAATCTTATTTTCGCCGCTTAAAAATCTGTAAGCATGACATGACTAATGTCATTACCTGTATCGGCATGTACACAAAACTATTAAATTTTATATAAAACTGCTTTCAGGTTATATTTATTTATATAAAACTACGTTCATGGTATAAGCTGTGTTATGAAATGTAAAGAATATTATGTTTATACTTGGGTTCGGTTTCCAAGCTGCCCCCATTTCATAAATGATATATACATTTTAAATAGTCTGTATTCCAAAATTTAATTCAATTCTTCACAGCATTTTGGCAAATTCATTGATCACATTTTTGCATGAAGAAAAAAGCAGTTAACTTTACTGCTTTTTTTCTTGATTCTTTTCTCACTCACTCAACCTTAACTACCTCAACCATCTTTCAACCAATTGTTCTGGCATATGGAAGCAGAAGCTTTCTCTGCTTACACAATTATACTAATATCATTTGTTCTCAATTTATCCTAAGAAATTAAAGAATGATAGAATTACTTGTCCACAATAAGGTACATGTTACTGAGGCTAAAATTTCATTGACATTTTTATCAATCATCAAGTAAAACTTAATGGTATTCCCTTGCTCTAGATTCATTTCATTAATTTATATATAACATGAGCATATACAATTTCCTCTAAACTGAAGCACCTCTGGTTCCAAGAATTTTGGATAGAAGATTCTCAACCTGTATTGATCATTTATATTTTATATTCCTAGACTTGGACAGTGGAATAAGAACAATCTATTCCTGTAGATTAAATAAATGGATTCAGGATCAACATATCTGAAGAAGACAGGAGGGCACAATGGCCAAAACATTGTGATAATAACAAGAAAGATGGGGAAATTAGTTTGAATGTAAATAGATAACCTTAGTTGTCAACATTCATGAGATTTCCTCAGATTCAGTGAATTTCAATGACAAAAAATATATCTTACCTTTGATGGTGTCTTTTCAGTAAAATCAGAAAATGTTTGCCTCAAATTGGAAATTTCTTCTGCAGAAGATATGGCCTGGAAATTATCATCCAAATCATCTTCCAAATGTCTTTCAGAACTAAGAATGCTGTCAATATTATTAGGGTTACTGATATAATCATTTCTGGCTTCATTTGTTGCAGGAAACCTTTCAGATGCTGAAGTTTCTTCTAAGAGAAACTTCCAATCTGGAAAGATATCATCATCATCATCTGTTTCTGAGAGAAAGCCATCATTAATGACATGTTCAAGGGATTCAGTTGAAACAAGACTATTTAGTTCATCATCCAAGCCTTGCATCTCAACTTGTGACTGAGGAGTTGAACATGTTGAGTGTAGATTACCTTCTTTAGAAGAGTCAATCAAATGCTTTCCTTTCAAAGAGGGATCAAAGTCTGGAGAATCAAAACCAAGTGGTTCTCTTGACATGGGCTCATTCTTTGGAATGAAGCTTCTTTCTTCAGGCACTAAAATGGCTGCTGGCAATGTAGATAGAATGCTGTCAGGAAAGTAATCATAGACTTCTGGATCATAGTCTAGTGTCAGATATTTAGACGCTGCAGTCTTGGAGTCATTGGAAATAAATTTTGAAGGTAAGGTTTTGTAGGTTTTCTTTTCTTTAAGGCAAGTTTTCCAATAAAGTGAAGTTTCATCAAGGTAGTCTTCAATCTCACAATTATTGGTTATATCAAAAATACCACTTTTTATATACTTATCTTTCCCAAAGGAATTAAATTCTTTCTCAGGTGTTTGGCATTTTGAAGTAAATTCAGGCAAAAAATACAAATCTGTGTCTTGAAAAGAGACAAAATTTTTGTTTTTGTGATAGTTTGTTACTGGCACTTGAGTAATATTGTTTAATTTCCAGGTTTTTTCTGTTAAATTATCATTGGCCCAAAGATCACTGGTTAATGCTGACAAATTTTTATTTGGAAAATTTTCTGTCTTTTCTATAACCGACTTTAGATGATGGACAGCATCCATATCGTTCTTTGTCATTTGCTTTTTACATTTTCTGTTTTGGCTTTGACCTTCAGTTAAAATTTCAATGCTGCTTGCAAGTTGCTGATGAAGTAATTTTCTATTTGGCTGAAAAGAGATCCAATTTCTTGTAGAAAGAAAGAAATTAGTACAGTATTTAGAGATGATGCATGTTATAACATTTGCCATTGGATTAAGTTCATTCTGTTGTATATTAAATCCTTTTAAGAGTACAAGTGGATTGGAGCTTGAGTTTCTTAAACAAGTTCCTTTGAAATACCCAAGAAACATCTTTGAATTAAACTTTGGTAGAATATTTTTAGAAAGTGAAAAATTTATCTTGCTTTTCAGAGGAAAGACAAATTCAGAAAAATTTCCTTTGAATAGAACAGAATTGGTAGGTCTGTTTTCCAACAGACTGGAGGATTTAATTATTTTTTTGTTGGAAACAAGAGAAGCTGTAGCTAAATCTTTGGGGTCTTCATTTTCAATTAGATTCATTTGGTTGAAGTTGGATTTTCCAAGATTTGATTTTAGTAAAGTTGTTTTATTAAAAGAGCAGACATTATCTTTACTTGGTAGATCATTGTCTTCACGTTTATTTTCAAAGTTTTGTTCTTGACCATTGTCATCATCACAAACAGAATCAACAACTCTGACAGTTGCGATTATATCAATTTCATTAAAACTTAGAGGCTTGACCAAAGGCATTTTTTTACCAGCACTTTTCTTGAATCGAGAGCGCAAACCTTCAAGAATCTTTCTGGATTCTTCAACTTTGCTGCACTCCAAACACTGACAATCAAAGCCATGTACATTTAAATCATCCAGATGATCAGAGGGTTCAGTTTGCATATATTGAGGACTGACGATTTTTCTTTGCAAAAACAGTTTTAAATCCTCCACAAAATCCTCCACGTCTTCATCTGTAAGGACTCCAAAATTTGAAGAAAGGTTCTGATGTTTTCTTGGTGCATTGTCTTTGTAGACACCATTTGAACTGCTTTTGGGAAGCTCAGAATGGGTTTTGATATTCCCAGAGTCCAAAGAAGTACACAAATTAATTTTCTTGATTTCTTTGCAATGAGTCCCACATTTAAATTCAATTTTTCTAAAAGCGTCGTCTTTTGAAAGAAAGGGATCTATCATACCCTTTGATTTGTTAATACTTTTATTTTCCGTTTTTTTAAAAGTCTTCTGCAAAGAAATATTCTTCGAATTGTGTTCATTTCCTGTGTTATAAATCTCATCCATTACTTGCTTAGCTGCCAAAGAGCTTTGACTATTACTATTTTTTAATTCATTTTGATCAAAGTATGGGTGATTAACTAAAGGAGAATATAGTTGTTTCTGGTTATCATTTGAAAAGTTAGACCATCTTTCCGGAGAGAAAGAGTTATTCTTAATGTTATCAAATTTTCTCTCATTAGATTGAGATATCACTTTTCTTACATCCCGCTTTAAGTTTGTTCTCTTTTCAACTTTTTTTGACTCTTCTGTGCATGTTGTATTCAATTGAAGCCTACCATTTTTTGGAACAAGTTCCTTATTGTCATCTGGTTCCAGATTCCTGCTACCCAAGACCTCCTCCTCTTTCTGAACATCTCTCAATTTGACACTGTAAGGAGCAGGATCACAGGAATTTGGCCGACTTTTATTTCCAGCATTCCAAATAATATTTTCAAATTTTCGTTTGCTATTTTCTGATGTTGATCTTTGGTTCAAATCTGCATCATTTTGTCCAAGTCGGAGGATTTTTCTGGGAGGTTTAACAGCTGGTTTGGAATCATCTAAAGACACCCGACTAGATCTCCAACTTTTTTGATTTGTCTTTGACATTGGAACAGACATACATTCTTCAGTCATTAACCATTTCATTTCTTTTTTAGTTGACATCTTCTGAAGGGTTACAAGAAAAAGGCACAAAAGTTTCTCAGGGTTTCATGTGTGGCTTCAGAAATAAACTCATTTGAACTCTGATTCCAAATTAAGATTTTGGTAAAAGGAATTATTATTTTGGCACTGAATCTCTTTCGCCTGAGAAGCATGCAACCTGTTAAAACAAGAGACAAAAAAAAAAAGCAACTTTAAAACTAGTCAAGAAGTAATATGATAATTATTATTAATTATCAATTTTTGAAAAACTCATACATCTTAATTTCAGTTGCTTTTTATTATAAATTCTTTGCCCATCATTTCATGATTGTTAGTAAACAGCATAGAGTAGAGATAATTGACAATGCTTCAACTAAGAAATACAAAATTGTTTTTTTTTGTTTTACTCCTGTCTCAATAGTAAATCTGGCATTGCTGAAAAAAAACTAACCTGGCTGTTGGTCTCAAAAAGGAGCTCCAATCTGTGGTTGACTTGGGTAGGAAATGGCTTATAAACTTTAATGCATCCAAAATGAAACTGCCCTCATTTACCCACCATAAAGAAACTTAACTGTCTCCTATCAGCATGGCTAATGCCCAATTTCATGAGAGCATCTCTCTGCCCCTCCTTGGTCTCATGTTTTTCACTGACCTGAGGCGGAACAACAACATTGAATTTATAGCTGCATCTATCGCAAGAAAAGTTGGTTCTCTGTGTCAAACCAGAGGGTTTTTCTTGCCAAAGTCCATCTTTCAAATCCACAAATCTACCAATCATCCTTGCATTGAATACTGTTGCCATATATGCTCTTTTGTCCCCATTGTTCATCTTGAGGTTCTCAACAAAATCCAGAGACTGATATGCAATGTGATAGGTCCTGAATTGGCATCTACCGTCACTTTCTCATAGATGTGATGTTGCTTCCCTGTCTTTTCTACAAATATTTTCATGGCAACTGCTCTGATGAGCTACTTTCACTAGTGCCCCAACTGCATGAATTTAAGCGTGCTACTAGGTTGGCATCTCAGTCCCACCTTTTCACTGTCAAAACGGTTAAATGTAACCGGCTATTCTATCCAAGAGCTTCTCTCACACTTCCTGTCAGTGGAACCTTGATAGCTATAATCTTCAAATGTAATGTCTGATATCTTCTGATGCCTTGATCCTGATCCCCGGCCTTCTCTATATCCTTTCCTCAAACACCCCTCTTTACTCTTACTCTCTATAACCCCTTGCATGCTAGTGGAACTCCTGTCTTGCTTGGGGGTGAAGTGTTTCACAAAAAAAAAAAACAAAAAGAAAAAAACTATGTGTATGTATGCATGCATGTATATTTAACATCAAGTCCAAGACCTTCAGTACCCTTGTGCATGAGCTACTGTATGCTGATGATACTGACTTTGTTGTACATTCTGAGAGGGATACACAGATACTTATGGACAGTTTTTCAGCTATGCTATTGCATTTGGACTGACCAAAAGCCTGAAGAAAACCAAAGTAATGTTCACTCCTTACAATATGCCTTACATCGAACCAAACTTATGTCAATGGCACTTGTTTAGGTGTTGTGGACATTTGTGTACCTTGACAGTACTGAGATGGATCCCTTGATGCTAAAGAACATACTTGAATCCAAAAGGCCTTGGTTGCATTTGGAAAGTAAGAGAATCATTTGTGGTCATACAGAGGTATCAGCAGCAGTACTAAAGTGGCAGTTTACCAAACTTGTGTACTAACCGCCCTGTTGTATTCTCTTCAGAAGTCTAGATGATTTACCGCCATCACCTGAAATGGTTTGAGCGCTTTCATCAAAATTGTCTAAGGTGAATCCTTAACATAAAATGATACCAGACACCACTGTTATTCTCAAGGCCTGCTATCCAAGCATAGAAAACTTACTGATTAAAAACCAGATGAGATGGGCCGGACATGTGGTATGCATGGATGACAGTAGGTTGCCAAAGCAGCTATTTTATGACAAGTTTGTAAATGGTCAGCATAAACCGAAAAAGAGATTTAAGGACTTTGTGAGGAAGGACTTGAAAGAGCTTAGAGTGGGGGTGGATGATTGGGAAAACTTTGGGAAAAGGGATTTGAGGAAAGGTATTACCAGGAGCTTGGATGACAGCACTGCAAGCTGGAAATGCGAGACATGGTTGTATCCTACTGTCAAAAGCTGGATATGTTAAACATCTGAAATCACATGACAGATGACCTACATGAGCCAGTGATACTACATGTGTGATCTGCAGAGAAGTATGTGAATCGACATCTGGATTGAAGAGGCATATAGTGCTGCACAAAGATGACCTACCACAACAACATCCACTTAAACCTGTGAAGACTCTGGAGCACATCTGTCATCTATCCTATAGGCCTTGCAAATCAGCTTCTGGTTTGAAGAACCTTCAAAGTCATTCGAGCGGAAACAATGATCTAGATTGGATATAGGTGTTGATGGGCAAGACGGCAGTCATCTGTGAAGATGGGGCAAGCAACATGTATGTATGTATGAGGTACCGCCACTGATTCACTAAAAATTAGTATACCATAATTGAAAATGTCAAACTTAAAAACAGTTTTAACATCAAAGTCTTTGTTAAGAGGAAAGACCAAAGGATTTTTTGGTTATTAAATTATAATTTTTTTTTTTAATCCTTTTTAGGTTTGAAATTTTGGTTAAAAATTTTGTTTTTCTTGCATCATAAGATACATATAGGAAGTTCTAGCATTTTTTGGCAGTGAAAATAACATTGATTTGGAAATCAAATAATTGTCAGAATTTAAAGAAACTTTCAGGACTTATTCACAAATGAAATTATTTTAGAAAGGTTTCTTTTTCAGAAATTCTTAGTAAAAACGTTTTTTCTTAACATCTGTTACACTCACTTAATTTTATGAAATTTCAAGAAAATAATTTTTGTACCAATTTATATTTATATTAGTTACAAGCAGCAGTCCTTGGAGAATTTAAATCAACAATTTCTTTTTGCAAAAGAGTACCACCAGTTACCAAAAATCTGCTCTGAATTGTACATTATTTAAGTAAAAAAAGCTTTTAATTATTTTTATGAATAAGATATTATGGACACAATTATCTTAAGAAAAAAACATTTTTTGATGAATAATGAATATTTACAAGAATTGTTTTCATTTTTCAATAATTTTAATTAGAATAATTTAGAAATTTTTATATATATCTTAAATTTCTGTATTAATTTGTACTGTTTAGGTGATATTGTTATTAAGTAAAAATTATCAATCATAAATGGAAAAGCTTTCTACAATTTAGCAACCCTCAATATTTTAAGAGAACTTTTAAGATTATTGGGTAGTTAAAAATTATATAAAAATTGTGACAGTAATTTTTATAGTTCTGTCCACTGTAGACAAAAATTAGATAAATTTCCATCTGTGAGTCAATCTGTCAACACAAAAATCCTGTGTGAAAAAAATGCATTTCAGTGACATTTTGAACTAAAAGTAGGTAATATTTGCTTCAAATCAGACTGATTAAATTTTAAATCAGCTAATATTTCTCAAATAAAGTTTCAGAAAAGTGTTTTATTTTGAAAGATTTTTTTTTGATAAAGAGAATTACATTGTGCTGATAGATAACTGGAAATGGCAATAAAATCAGTGATTTTTAGTGATTTTAAAATAAAAACTCGTTCCAGCTAATTTAAATTAGTTTTAAAATAGAGCAAAGTATTTTTCTTATTGGAATTTTTAAATTTAATCTATTAGTGTGAAATTAAAACTAAAATAAAAAAAAAAAGATTTTCCATTTTAAATCTTAGGTAACACATTTGTATATATATATATATATATATATATATATATATATATATATATATATATATATATATATATATATATATATATGTGTGTGTGTGTGTGTGTGCTAATTATTTTTAGATAGCTGAGAACTTGAGTGTCTCTTAATTTCTTTGAAATTCCCCAAGTCAAAAATCACACTGCCAGAAATAACCTTTCCTTAGGCAAACTTCAGTGTTTTCATAACACTTAACTCTAATTTTCCTGTTATGTGATTTGCTATTTCCTTCAACCCTTATTTTCATTCTTTCTAATTTAATTTCTTTTGTTTCTTCTTTCATACAAGACCCACAATACAATAGAAAACACATAATTAACATGCAGGAGATAGAAAAGGGGCTTCACCTTGTCTCTCACTCACACACAATTAATACAGTGTAACCCGGATGTAAGAGAGTTGTCGGGACCAGATAAGAAGTCTCTTATATCTGGGTTTCTCTTATATCCGGGTTTGGTCTATTTTGTTTAGGTAAGTATGGGATCTAATTTGGGACCAGAGAAAATCTCTCTTATATCCGGGTTACACTGTATGAGTAAAAGATTGATGTTGCCTTCAGCATCCTGACTCCAGAATTTTGTAGACAGACCCTCTAGGAATCATTGTCCACTTGTCAAGGGGTATAAGCCAGTGACACTATATACTTCCCAAATTTTCTTTTTTTTTTTTATATATGCACTTTTTATTGGTGCAATTTTTTTCTTTCCTTAGTGTATGTGTGCATTCATGCACATGACCTCATGCACAATGTTGTGGTTATTTATCTGTTTCATAATTTTTTTTCCATTTTACATTTTCTACTTATTGGTCGTTTAGCTTTTCTTTTAATTGTAACTATATTGACTTCTGGTTTTCCAGACATACTGTCTTTGTTAATTCATGTGTGCATGATGATGATATATCAGGAATTCAGGAAAAACAAAAAATAGTTTCAAGGAGTGTTAAAAAGTTCTTTGTCCAACCAAGAAAACTTTCCTGCTCAAATTTAGTCAGATTATGCGAAATTGATTAAGCAGGGAACTTTTCATCACCCTCTTGTATATGATTTGATTTATATAACCACAGCTATGGCTCTTTGTAGCCTAATTGGTAATGCAGTTATCATGTTAAAACAGGTTTCTAATAAGGAACTGAGATTTGAGTTATTTGTGTCTAAAAATTCTTTATTTCAGATCTATACTTCTGACAATTGGAGAATGCCAATCTGGGAGTTACAATAAAAAGCATCTGAAATCAAACTGAAGAAATCTTAATTCAAAAATTAATATTTGATAATGCATCATCTAGAACAAAAGGATTTGGACCCTGTCAAGATTAACAAGTGTTTTGACACCAACATCTTTGGTGAAAAACATTTTAATGCAAGAAAAAGATAAAGTTAAAATTTAAATTAATTCTCAGATTTGCTTGCTTTCTCAAAGATGGAAAGAAATCTATTGTGGACATTGATTTTTTTTCTTTTTTTTAAATCAAATTTTGCATATCCTCAGCTGATAGATATATGAGCAGAGTATATAGTTAGAAAATATAAAGATGACAAAACAATGAAGCAATTGTGGTGGTGTACACAAAAAACCCAAGTGAATGTAAAAATTAACTAAAAATTTGTCTATTAGTAGGCACAGTAAGGCCATTTATAGCTTAAGTCAACAACCAAATAAGGTAAATAGTTTGCACTATTAATACAATCTGTTACACTTATTCATAGTGTGATTGTCATGACCAAGATACGCAACATCATGCCCAAAAACACACATGCATTGCATGTGTATGGTGTCGCAGAGCAGTTGGAGGAAGGGAGAATTGGCGGATTGCACCTACACATATGTAAATCTCTCCCACTCAACCAATCGGCTGCTTCATCATGGTCTATAAAATGAGTGTGTCTGAAGGCTTTGGCAGTCGGGGTTGAGGGAGCAGACGAGGATGACGAGAGACGACTGCCCTGTTCCAGCAGTTTGTGGTGTGACAGCTACACAGTGTTTTGTAGATTATTTCTTAGTACATTTTGTTTCAAAATTCAATACAAATGTTACTTCATGTACCAATTTTTGAATTGAAAAATATGCAGAATAAAGACCAATTTTCTAGATAAAACATTTTGTGTTATACCATTAATCATCAAATGGTTTTGGTACCAAAAACATTCACTTATCCACCTTCATCTAAGACTGATTTTCCAACTTTTTTTTTTTTTTATGTGATCCACAGCAAGAACCACATTTTGCATTGTGACTTATTATATCTACATGTAATAAATCAAGAGAAACTGTTCACTAGTTTCATTTATTTAGCATTGACAATTTATATATTTCTTATGATCTGCACATATTGGAATTACATGTATCTATTTGCATTAATATAAATTTATTGCTTTTAGAAACACAAATTTAAGGAAAATTCTGTCACTCAGTCCACAATGAGTTTGACATACAAGATACATAAACTCAATGAGAACAAACTACATACAAACTTTTTTTTTTTTAAATCCCAAAACCACAAAATGCATAAACAACTTGCTTAATGACCAGTTTTTCATCTATCCTAGGATTTAAAAAGGTGCAAGAAATTAAATGTAGCATTTCAAGTATTGATTCATTTAGACCAGCATTTTTCAAACTTTTTTTTTTACAACCCACAGCAAGAACCACATTTTGCATTTGTGACCTATTATATCTACATGTAATAAATCAAAGAGAAACTGTTCACTAGTTTCATTTATTTAGCATTGACAATTTATATGTATATTTCTTATGATCTGCACATATTGGAATTACATGTATCTATTTATATGTATATAAAATTATTACTTAAAAAAAAAATTTAAAAAAGAAATTCTGATGCAAAGCTAAAGTAAATAATATTGGACTCTTTTAGTTTCTTACTTCCCTGTCACCTACGTTTTTCAAAAATTGAAATACAATCTCAGTCACCGTCTTCTTGAATCTTGTTCATTTTCTGTCTTTTCTCCTCATTAAAGTTTTCTCATTCTCTTTCATTCTCAGTAACACCCTGTGTCTTATGGCATTATTGCCTTGCTTGATATGACATGATTAAAAAACAAAATAAAATAAATAATTACATGTAAAAGAAAAGAAAAAATTTATTTATTTCTGTGTGTAAATAAAGTTTTTAGATATTTTAAAAACATGAATATTCATTCATTGAACCAACATTATAGACAAAAAGAAAAAAAATGTAAACAAATTTAAAAAATCTCTTAATATCCCAATATTTGTCTGAAAGATTTGTTTTAAAGTAAATTTGTAAAACTTAAGGATTAATTAACTGGATTTTTAAATGTAATGCTTGCTTTCTGCTTAAAACAAAATGAAAATATCATTTACTTACACATGGTTGTGTATTACATAATAGGGGTCAATAACTGTCATTTTCTACTGTAATCCCTCTTTTAAAAACCATGTGAAAAAAAAAAAAAATTAAATCAATATAGAACACCAGTATTGTAAAAATAAAGAAATTTGCATTTATGTTTAAAAAATAAATCTTTAACCTACTATTGCACTAAAAAAAATTACAACGTGTTTTATGCAAGCATCAATTTTAAAAGGAATTTTTTTTAAATTTTAACACCAAAATATTTCGCCAAAGCTTGATTTTTTTTTTAAAGAATAAAATAACCCATACAGTAAAAGTTATTCACTAATGAATAAGTTCTGAAAGTTTCGTTTGTCTCGGTTTTTAATTCTTTGATTTTGGCAAAGATTTTATTTTTAAAACAAGGTATCGATTTTTTGCTTCCATTACGGAAAAAAGAATCCATTTTGAAGTTAAGTACTTTACATTCAATAACAAGAAGCACTAATTTTGTTTTTGTTAAGGTTAGGAATGAATTTTGTGTTATTGTTCACACTTGACATTGCATATTTTTTTTTTGTTTGTTTGAAATAACATCTTTAATGTTTCTTTTGAAAAAATTTGACGAACAACCACAAAAAAAATTAAAAATTACACACGAGATATCGAAATTGGCGCGGTAATGGGTGAAAGTGAAACAGGCTGTTCAAAAATATTCTCAGGTTTTTTTAAAAAAAGAACCTATTCAGTAATAAATAAATGAATAAGTACTGAAAATTTCGTTTGAATCGGATAATTCCTTAATTTTTAGTAAATTATGGAGGTACAGTTTTTTTTCATTCCGAGAAAAAAATGCGTTCATTAAAAATACGTAAATTTATCGAAAAGGAATGAAGAAAAAGTTATTTTCTGAAAGAAATTTAACATTTATAATTTCAAATAACATTTTGAAATGGAATATTCAAGATTTTTGTCCAGTTTACCTTTATGAAATAAATGCGTCAAGTTTTGAGAGTTTCCGTCATTAAATTTGAACGTTGAGTAGGGTTTCCAGTAACTTGTCAAAGAAAAATTTAGAATAAGAATGGGTTTTTTTAAGTTAGGATGATTTTTCAATTCTTTTCTTTATTTCTTGTTCGTATAATCGAGAAAATAAGACGTATAGAAAAATACCCCTTAAAAACTAATGCTAAAGAAAAAAAAAAAACTTATTTTGAAAACTGATGGCAGAAACTTATTCAGCCCAGCTCAAATTCAACAGCATTGCATTTTCAATAGACTGAGGTCAAACTCTTTGAGTTCTCGGTTTCAGCATCGTTGATGTAAGGGGGTATATTTTGATTGAGTATTCTTTGAGCCACTGTATCTGATTAAGCAAAATAAATTAACTCACTAGTTCTGTTTTTGTTTGCCATTTTACAACCTCGGTTAAAATCATCGCAGTGGCAAGTCTCCTGAATGAACCAAGAGAAACAGTTTCGCATTCAATGCAGAAATAAAACAATTGTCAATTCTAAAGTTCCGAAATTAGTCAACAATTGTCCTGATAATTAAGCGAGTGAGAGAAAGAAAAAAAACTTACCTTGGTCTATAAGGAAAAACACTCAGGAGAGGAATTTTTTCTTTGAAGCAAATCTTCGAGAAGACAAGACTCCATGATGGCATTTTCAGGAAGAAAAATTGAAACGGAAATTTTCATATCTAATACACTGAAATAAAATTTTGAATATTTCATTTCAAAATGTTAGCTTAAAGTAAGAATTAACTGGAATAAAAATATATATTTCGTTTATATTTTTCTTCTCTTCTTCATGACTTTATTTGTAGTTCGTCCTTGTTTGCTTGATGCGGGGAGTCTGCAAATTCGTACCAATTCCTTGAGCGGATGCAAGATATTTATTTATTTTTTTTAAATCTATCTCTGAATGTAACAAAATAAATAAAACACGTTTTTAAAGCAAACTGAATTTTCAAGTGTTTTTTTAGATTTTTTTTAAAAAAGTAACTACAGTGTAACCTGGATATAAGAGAGTTGTCGGGACCGGAGAAGTCTCTTATATCCGCGTTTGGTCTATATACATAACACAGGCTCTAATTTGGAAAATCTCTCTTATATCCGGGTTTCTCTTATATCCGGGTTACACTGTAATTAAAAAAAAATACTGTAAGATTCATTATTTCAAATCGATTTTCGTCCGCGATTATAAAAACTTAGAAATTTAGTTCTTACTTAAGTTTAAATTAAAAGAAGCCCCACCCAATCCACATCTAAATTACGCATAAAAACGTGAATTAGCAAATTATGTCTCTACATTTTCTCAGTAGAATGTAAAAAGATTGAGGCGCATATAGTAATTTCTTTTAAGCTTATTTTCACTCCTTTTTTTTTCTTCATTCATTGACCAAGTTTAGTAGAAAAAATTAGGGAAATTTAAATTTTTAATTTATGCCTCGTGTAAGATTTGTTTTTACTTGCTAAAACTTTCAAAAAGTCAAATAAATAAATAAACAGCGATATTTATGTTTCATTTTTAATCAAAAGCAAAATTAAAACAAAATAACAACCATAGAATTAATTTCTCTGCTCAGAAAACATAGTCAAAAAACAATAACAATGATATGTCTATGCGAAGAACATTTGTTATGACTCAGCTAAAAGGGGACAAAAAGTGAAGGAAAACGAAAAGAAAGGACTAATTGCAAGAAGACATAATTCACTGAGGTGCCTTGAACGTAACTCCACGAAATCGCTAAAAAAATAGCATAGCATAATGAAAAAGACGCCAACCTTGCCGAAAACAAAATTTTATCGTCTAAATGTTCATGTTATTATAAAGAGGAAAGACCAAAGTTTTTTTAAATTATTTTTAAAATTTTTTCTATCTTTTTAGAACATTCTAAATTTTGATTAAAAAAAAACTTGTTTCTCTTTGTATCACCGGAACGAGTAAAATAACAGAATTTTTAGCACGTTTTTTTTTTTGTACGACACACATTATTTTAGAAAATCTTGCAAAAAATAAAAATAATTCTCGGATGTTAATGAAACTTTCAGAAACTATTCACAGATGATCGAAATTATTAAATGTTGTTTTTCTTTATTAAAGTCATGGCAGAATTATTTTTTTTATATATTTATTACCCCCCTAACTAATTTATGAAAACGCTAGAAATTCGATTGCATCGGGTTTTTAGTGGTTACAATAGTTTAAAAGAACAAGGCTTGAGGAATACAAATCATTTTTTTTTTAATTGGATCCGCACTACCTGAAAATCTGCTCTGAATTGTAACATACAAATCTCAATAAAACAAAGATATTATTTAATTTCAAATGCTTTTATTTGCTTTTAGTTGTTTTTATGAATGTAATTATAAAGTACGGAAGACTAACCAGAATACGCTTAAGTTGCGTTATTTGAGTTAAGCATTGTTCTCCGCTGTTAAAGCCTTTACTTTTACGAAACACAGTTGGAGAAGTTTATTTGATTTTTCAATTTCAACTGAAAAGGGTACCTACAAGTATCAGTATCATCTTATGAAAGTTTATGTAAGTGTGTACAAGATATGTTCAGCATGTGAGTGGCGTGTGTGAGTGAGAAAGTTGGCGCATGGTTTCAACTGTCGTGGATTCGTTTGGCAGTTGGATTTCGCACTAATGAGATGAAAAAGACCTTAGCTTAAATAAGTGACTGTAGGCTCCAAATTGTTGCGCGGGAAGAATTATTCTTCACATGCAAATGATCTAATTGGTTGGCATCGACCAATCAGCGAGCTTTGGGGAGACTTAAGAAAGCGTCTGTAATCCGTTTCTCCCAAAAGTGCACAAAATTGACTACTTAAAAATACAGCGATTACAAAATTGTCGCATTACTGCAATTTATAAATCGCCTATAGTAATGTAATGGTGATTAATTAACCAATGAATGCTTGGCGTTATATGTGATTTGTATTTTTGTATGTATGTATGTATGTTCGTTCGTAATAATATCCGCACAATATCATTACAATTTCAGTGCGGCCCTCTTTCCTTGATGACCTAAGCATGTGCTTTATTTTGCTGAATGGTTAATCCAACCCTGTGGATAAGGTTCTACGATCATTAGTGATGGTTAGTTGGCTTCCAATAGATTCTAAATGATCTGGAATACAACCACAAAGTTATAACTCATGAAAATAATTTTGTTGATTTACATGAATAGCTGGCTTCATCCTAAGCGTTTTCTCAAAAGAAAAGAAACCAACACTCATCCACACGAATGGGAATATATATTTCGAAAAAAAAAAAATGTACAGTGTGTCGGAGTTAACTCCTCCTTCAGTCCGTTAACCCTTTCACCAGGGGTCTCTCTTCCCTGGCTATAAATAGCCGATGACCCTTGGCCTCTATCTCTTTTTCCTTCAGGATTTCAGCTATCAACCTCGAAATGTAGTCGCTAACAAAGAGATGGCGTGGAAACACGCTAAGCATAATATTCACACACGCACGCACATACAGAATATTCACACACGCACGCACCTACAGAATATTCACACACACTTTGTCCTTTGTACTGTTTCCATGTATTGTAACTTGTTATTAATATATATTTGTATATACATATATATCGGTCTTGTGTTTTGTTTGCTTTCTTTGCCTTCTTCTTTGGACTTAATCAAAGTCCAACCTTTTTATGTAGTTGGGCCCGGCGGGCAGGAGTATCTGAACCTTACTTGCGTTTCTTCTACGTCTGACTTCTATCAACAGCATAACAGCCACGGCCCCTCTACAAGTGGAACCTCTGTTTACGAATTTAATTCGTTCCTGAAGGCCGTTCGTAACCCGAAATATTTGTAAACCGAAACAATTTTTTTTAATAGGAATCAATCTAGAGAAAAAAAACGTCACAGTACAATAAAATTAGAAAAGAAAAGCCCACCACAACACACGAATGTAGACAACAGTGCAGTCGACTCAAAAATTATTCCGTTCGGATAAACTTGGTTCGGCAATGTTCGAGAACCGAAATTTTGTTCGATAACCGAGGTATTATCATCTCGAATTTTCTATTCGAGAACCGAGGTTGCACTGTATTTGAAAATATATTAAAAACGATAAACTATATAAATAAATTTTAACTCGCGAATTATGGCCCCCGTTTTATAGCCATTCTAGACTTTTACCGAAATTTCCTTACAGATAATTATGAAACGTGGGACAATAGAGATGTGGTTCTACAGGACGACGACGAGAATACCATTGACGGAGTACTTGGGTAACAAGGAACATTTAAGAAAAATGGAAATTATTAATACTTATAATCAGAAAGAGACAGTTGAAATTTCAAGGACGCATAATTAGGAAAGGCAACTTAGAAACTTTGACACTCACAAGACATACTGAATTGCAAGCAGGACAAAAGAAAACATCTACTAACATAGCTAACGAGCTTGTGTAAATAGATGATAGAACGTGGTATGGGAGGGTTAATTGGGAGACAAACATTGCTTAGTGCCACAAGGGAAAGGAAGTTGTGGAGAACTATGATCACCCACACCCTGAAAGGACAAGACGTATAAAAGAAAAATCTATACCATCGTGGCTTGACGTTTACATTCTTGCTTCTCTGGCATGCTCCTGGAAAGAGACTGCCGTAAGCTACTAGCATGAAAGACATCTGCTGCGTAAGAGAAAGCAGGTGTTCTTCCTTTTATAGTCCAGGGCAGGAGAGCCGAGTCGCATAGCATTTTCCCCATAGGAGCCATATCCAAAAATCTGAAATATTTTAATCCATTGATGTTTGGTGGTCTTCCAACTTCCAACTAGAATTAGTAAGGGAGAGTGAGTGCGAAACAATAATAACTTCCTTTTTCGGAGGACTGGGGAATAAGAAAAGAAATTCGCTAGCCTATGTAAATCTTTTGCCTTTTACAGAAATTAACCGGTGAGCTGGGAGGAAGAAAGAAATACGAGACTTTGCGAAAATTTCTTTTGACCAATGAAAACCTTGCCTTCACAGTTAGCTGGTGAGACAAGAAGAAGAAAAGAAAGTAGCGAACCCACACGAAATTCTTTTTGATATAAAATGGGGGGGAGATTAAATTAATCAGAAGAGTGTCTAAAGTCATATGAAAAGTTTCATTTAGAGTTACTTGCGATCAGCGTTGAAGTATGTAGCGGTATTGACGGCCTAAATCAACCCGTACATTTTTTACTTTACAAATGTGTAAGCAAGCGAAAAGCAAACAAGAGATTTGTTACAAACATACGAAACATTTCCAAATATGCAGTGAAAACTTTTCTCTTTGAAATATTCTTCTAAAGCTACAGTTTATTCAACATTTCTCAGCTTTGTAATTAATTCAACTTTTGTGAGCTGAGATAAAAAAATATTTCACAGTCTAAAGGGCATAACACCAACAGAATTTTAACTTCTACGCATGTACATCAATACACAAGATAAATACAAAGGTTATTGTTTTAAAACCATTTTGTTCCTTCTTGTATTTCATGTTTTGTGGTATTTTACGTTAAATATAAATTGCGTGGTCATGTTATTCATGCAGCCGTAAACAAACATCTACGAATGGTCCATTCTTACTAACATACACCGCTACATATGGTGACCCCGAGTCTTCTACAACACCATTAGAAAAATGATGTCACTCATTTTACAACCTCAACCTTGATTTATATATTGTAGAATTAGATTTCTACATTCTCTGTTATAAACCTGTTAAAAGAGGATTACAACTAAGTATTCTCAGTTTGTACTGAACCCATTAAAATTGGCTCCAGAGTTCAGTACGAAACAATCCTTTCTGATTGGTCCGTAAATAATAATGTCATGTTTCTGCCTACGGTTGACCACGAGTTGACCTGTTCAGAGTTCAGAGCGCCAAAAATTGGTAAACATTTTTTCGAGTCTCCTACATGATCAAGAAAATTCATAAATAGGAAACTTGGACGCGAGTCAATGAATCCTTAAAAAAATCAACTCATCGCACAAATCCAACTTCCTCGGTAAAAGTTTATTTTTATTAACATCAACTCGGCTTGTGGAATTCAATTTCTTTTCAACATCAACTCATCTAGTAACGAATTCAACTAAGACGTGATTCAGCAATCAACTTGTAGAGGACCGTGTGTTTACGTGTTGTTCAATTAGGAACACGTGCTGTTTATTCCTGCTAGAATAAGGTCCAACTACAAGAACATGGCGGACTCAAGTTGAGTCCAACCGAAGATGCAAAGAAAACAAATAAGACCGATACATATATGTCAAGAAATATATGTATTAAACAACAAATTTACAAGTGACAGAAACATTAACATTTGTGTTTGTGTGTGAACGTAAAGAGTTTGTATTTTGGTGAATGTTCGTACGTACGTTATATGCGCGTGTGTTTCATGATGTTTTCCCACAAGTGGGCAAAACGCGGATCTTTGCGAGAGATCACATTTTTTAAATGTGTCCGCTAAAATGCAAAGTGAAAAAGGGAACGAGTCAAGAAGTCGCCCAGTATTTATAGTGTAGGCAAAGCGTCCTTAGTGAACCATTATGAAATTAAGGATGAGTTAACTCCGACAAACACAGTCAATATATTAACAACATAAAGGAAATCGTAACTATATCAATCGAAGTGAGACAACTCTACAGTAATCAAGCAATCTATTTCTTTCAATTTCACCATCAACATAAACTGTTTAATTCCTTACCAGATCTATAGCATAACACCTTTTATATTACTCTTGATCACACAACCAAGAACTCTAAATTGTTGTAAACAACTTTATTATTTCGTGTCTACTTGTTTTATATAAAAATATTTTCTGTTAAAACAAATATCTGCCTATTTGATTATTTCTCTTGTTGTTGTTGTCTTTGTTGTATTTGATTTTAGTAAAAATAGTAGAGGGTCAGTTTAATTTGTATTTTGTCACTGATACAGATTGACTAACCCACTACAATATGAATGGAAGGAAGTAAGTTTGTAAAGAAGTTACAATTTCACAGTGTTCATGAAAATATTGTACATACGTATGTGAGTGTATTTATCCATACGCATACTTTCAAGCGGAATATGAGACAAAGTCGAGTTTAAAAAGTGAGTTGACAGCCTGTGACGGACTTCACCACATTAATTTAAGTTAGAATAGGAAACCAAACTGACGTAAAGAAAGGATAAGCCAAAGACATCATTACACATAAAATATGTATTTAACAAGATGTACAAACAAGGATGTGAAAAAAAGGCATGCATTGAGTAAAACAAGAGTTGTCTCTCTTTAACTATTGTTTGTATTCCAGAGTTCACTAAAAGAAAGAAGGTTGTGATAATTTCTGGTAATAAATGTTTTCAACAGTTTTGCTGTGTAAGGAAAATATTATGTGAGTGTAGGGAATATTCAGCATGTGAGTGGTGGTGTGAGTGAGAAGGTTGGCGCATGGTTTCAACTGTCGTAGATTCGCTTGGCAGCTGAATTCTCACTATATTTATTGTACGTAAACTGTACAAATGTGGCACAAGGCTAAAAAGAGGAAATGGGGAAAAGGATGGTCATCAACTGTCTGAAGATTAAACTTAGCTAGTCACAATCACTGACCTAGGCATACAAACAATATTCCTTTTACCAAAACAACGCATTTTTACTTACCATTCTTACCTCAACCACCATAATGCCTCAGAAACTCTATGAAGTCCTAAACTGGCCCCCATATTTACAATTCATTGTTTGTGGAGGGGGGGGGGGAATAAAAATAACAATTTAAAAATCTAAAAACCTCAATGATTATTTACACTAATTATCTAAGAATATTTCTTGCTTTTATAGATGATCATCGGCTCCAAAGCGCTGCGTGGGAAGAATCATTCTTCACGTACAGACAATCTGATTGGTTGGCATTGAACAAACAGCGAGCGAGCTTTGGGGAGACTCACGAAAGCTTCTGGGATCCGATTCTCCCAAAAGTGCACGAAATCGACTACATGAAAATATTTCGATTATAAAATTGTCGTATAGCTGCGATTTATAAATTGTCCATTACACATGTAGAATTAGATTCCTACATTTTTAAAAAATCTCAAATTTTGTGCAAGTTAAACACATAGCGGCTCCCATCCAAGTATAACAACTGATGCATTCTGGCTGGTTGAAAAATATTAATTAGGTGTCGTCAACTACGTCCGAAGGTACCGACCCAAATTTTGACCTCTAGTTGACGCCACAAAATGTAAACGTGTTCACGATCCACCCACGTGACCAACTAATAAAAACGAAACTTCGACGTGACTTGGTCAGTGGGCACTTAAAATATTGGTTGTGATTTTTGACTGTTGCGGACGGCTTATTATCGCTCGACTCTTTTTTTGGAATTTACCTTTTTGCATTTTGATCTTCATTTTGGTTAAAGTTTGTTTATTTTACTTTTACATTTTTTGCGACTGCACTGAAAAAGTTTTTTCATTTTTCTTTCTTCTCTCCATTTTATTTTTACCCCCCTCCACCTTTAATTTTTGCACTTTTTCTTTTTATTCCAGTTTTCCTATTTGTTTTTCATTTTTAACCCCTTTAATTTTTTGCTCTTTTTTCTTTTTATTCCAGTTTTCCTTTTTGATTTTCATTTTTACCTCTTTTATTTTTGCAGTTTTTTCTTTTTTTAAATTCTTATTTCTTTAATTTTTGCTCTTTTATTCTAGTCTTCCTTTTTAATTTTCATTTTCTTTAATTTCCTTTTTTTTTAAATCTATCTTCGTTTTCTTTATTCTGTGTTTCGCATTATTTTTTATTAATTTATTTATTTAATTGTTTCTTTCCATCCTTTAATTTTTACGTGTTTATTGTTTGTAATCGTTAGTATTGTAAATTTATTTGTTTGTTTTCTTTTGGTTCGACTCGCTTTTCTTAGGGTCGGCCATTTTGATTTTTTGTAACTAGCTTCGGCTATTGTCCTCGTTTCGCATTTTTTTTTTTTTTGTTTATTGACGTCGGCCATTTTGATTTTTTGTGCTATTGTCCTCGTTTCGTATTTTTTTGTTTATTGACGTCGGCCATTTTGAACTTTTTTTAACTAGCTTCAGCTTTTGTCGAAGTTTTGTATATTCTTTGTTTTCCGTTTTCATTGTCTAACGTTTTTTATTTTATTGTTTATTTTCTTTTACGTGTTTTCTTTTATTGTTTCGCCTTTAGGCGATATTTGCTCTTTATTGTTTTTTCTAATTTTTATTGTATTTTTTTAAATTTGTTTTACGTATAAGTGAACCGTGTTTTTTGTTCTTTTCGTCATGTAATTATTTTTGTGTGTGCATATTTATTTTATTTTGTTCATTGTTGTCTCGCTTTCGGGTGATCTTGTTTATTTTTTTTTTGATTTAATTTATTTATTTTTTATTTTTTTAACCCCCCATTTTCCCCCCCTTTCCCTGTGAAAAAATGGATAAGAAGGAAAAAAAAGTTCCTTCGTTTTTTATATTAAAAAAAAAAAGCCTAAAATAGCTACTTTTCGACGCACTGTGAGGAAACACCTCTTTAACCCTAAAAAAGATCCCCTGGACAAAGACAATAAGGATGAATATCCTGATCTGCCCACAGTTCCAACAAATGAGGAAATTGTGGCTGTACTGAAAAAAGCCTCCAAAAATATGGAGGCTGAAAAGAGCAACAACTGTGACCAAGTTAAGGACAACTCACCTGCTAATGCAGAGGCCGGGGAATCGCCCTCTTGTTGGAAGTCCCCTCCTAAATG